TGAGAAACGATGTACAAATGCGCTTTACACAATTGATGTGTGTATGGATTGGGATAACAGTTGTATGAGCCCCTAATAAAATGTTAAAAAAGAAAAAAATACCTTCATTTGAAAAAAAAAAACTTGTTCTGTGAAAGACAAAGATTCATATTTATTTAATATATAAAATTATAATTGTAGCTGGTCCTTTGAAATCTTCTCTTACAACAGCATTGAGTGTGCGGTTGTGTTTATGTATGAGGGGTCTTTAAAAGGTTCATGGGCAATGTATATTAAAAAACTGCATGGATTTATATATGCATATATATACACACAAACATAAATTTGCAGTAACTTGTTATAATGTCTCAACAAGTTCTATTTTGATGCTCTGAAAGAGAAGACGTGAATTGAGCCCCTATCAGAACAATATGAATTCTGCTAAAATTAAAGAACAAACAATAAGTAGTGAAAAACACACACCTTAGAACAATCTGTTATTTGAGATAAAGGGGACAGCATTTTTGTTTGTTATTTTAAAGATCATTTTATTGGGGAGGTTCTAACAGACTGTATAACAATTTATACATCAATTTTATCAAGCATATTTACAGTGTGTTGTCATCATTTTTTAAACATTTATTTTCTCTTTGAGCCCTTGGTATCAGCTCCTCTTTTTACACCCCTCCTCCTCCCAACCTTGTGACACCTTGATAAATTGTAAGTTATTATTGTTTCCATGTCTTACACTGACCTCTCTTTCCCTTCCCCTGTGGTTTCTTCCTCCTCTCTCCACCTTCCCCTTCCCCTCCTGGTATCATACTCCCATTTCTGCCCCTGAGGGGTTTATCTGACCTGGATTCCATGTGTTCTGAGCTGTTATCTGTACCTGTGTACATGCTCCAGCCAGGCCTGCAATGAAAGGCAGAATTGGGGTCATGACAGTGTGGGGGTGAGGAACCCTCAAGGAACCAGAGGAATATTGTGTGCATCATCAGTGCTATACTTCACCCTGGTTTACTCATCCCTTCCTTGTGACAAAGAGGACAACATTGTTCCAAGAACAAAGTCCAGAAGGATTAATACAGGAGGAGAGGAGGCAGGAAACCAGGGGAAGGTCAGATGAGTGGTATTGAATTGAGGGGTTTGCAATTAACTTTCTGAGTGTAAAACATGATCTACTCTAAACTTTCACGATAAGAAAAGAAAAAAAATTTTAATTAACATGAAGTAGCAAAAAAAAAAAAAGAATGTGTGCGTTGGGAGCAAGAAGCAGACTGCAAAAAGAAAAGCATTGCTAATTTTGAACCGGCATTGTAAATTCCTTCTCTGTACTGTGTGCAGAAATAGAACCGATGATCTAGGTAAGTAAACCAGTGGTCTTTAGACACGCACACACATATATAAAGTAAAACCTGTGATGCTGGAGTCTATAAGACAGAAACCTGTCAGAGAAGGAAAATATTTTCCAGTAACAGCAATAGAAAAGACTGCACCTTGTCAAAGTTGGAAAATGTATGATATGTATACATATATACATACACAAATATCCACACTCATTTTGACAGTGAAACTTATGACAGCTAGAGCTTAGTTTTCCACCTGTGGCGGTACAGTTTTTAAATACACTCCTTAATCAATTTTTAAAGATTATATAAAAATGAATAGAAATGTAAGTTGTATTTATTTCCCAACCTGAATCAATAGTGTGAGGACCAGGTCTGATGCACTGCCTTCAGCAGGGAGGAGACCCCCCAACTCCAAACCAGCCCCAGACGGATGGTCACAAGGCAGAGGTCAGACATGCCTTGACCTTTCTAAATTCCTTTATTCTGAAACCAACTGCCCCTCACACAGCAAGCTATGTCTCTACTTGGCTCGAGAATCTTTTGCAATGGCTACACAGAACTCAGAAATAATAATCACAACGTGGGAGCTTATTAGGAAAGCTGACAGGTTAAAAGATGTTAGAAATACAGCTCTTTCATCTGCAACACATCTCTTCAACCACGCTGGTAAGTATTCTTCTCTCTCTCAGTTGCTTATTCACATAGTCCCTTGGCTTCTGCATCATTCCATGGGCCAGCAAGTCCACCTGCCACTCCACCTCACTGTGCTGTTCCTGGGCTGTCTCACAGTCCTGCCTCATGGTCTCAGTGCTGCGGTGGCTGCTGTCTCTGCCGTGTGAGACAGAGATCTCACAAACGCTGGTGGGTTGTCTTTCTTCCTAGTTGTGGAATTTCCTGTTTCTGCTTGAGAAATGGCTCACTCTTATACCCAGTGAATGGAATGGCAAAACTGACCACTCCCTGTCTTAAAATCTTCTACACCTTATTTACATGATCTGGCCTAGTCATTGGGTGGATCAGAAAATCTATGGATAGGAGAACCAGTCATTTTGCTTCACCACAAGTCATTGTAGAACTGTACAT